ATTTAATATATTTTCTGTTTATACATTATTTATATAGATACAATTTATTTTAGTAAATGATTTGTTTTTAATTAAACACTATTAATTACATTTACTCATCTCAATGTTTAAGAAATCTCATAGAAAATATGTGTTCTCCAACAGGAATTAAATCTGTATTCCTATATGGAAACTGTCATGTGATCTGATGTGCTATATCATTTTGCTACAGAGAAGCATCTGATTATCAAAGTCCAAATTACATATATACCAATGGTATAGCATTTCAGATCAAATGCTGGTTTCTATACAGGTATACAGGTTCAATTCCTGTCAGAGGACACATATTTTCTACAAAATTTCTTGATCATTCATACCAGTAAATTTAATCAATATTGTTTATTTCAATATATGAGCTTCTGATTCTTAGCTATGATTAATAAATGATGAACATGTCATTTTAATTTATGATCGATTTAGTCAAAATACTTCTGTTAAGCTTAGATAGTAATTATACATTCTTATTGCTCAAATTAGAGTCCAATAGTGTCATAAAAACATTGGAGAATCCCAGTAAGATACCTTTAATCATTTCTAAGATACAACAGTTCAGAGCTTTTTAACAATTGGACAGTTTTGCTGTTACACCCCTGGTATATATATTATTTTTGCTTTGTTTTCTTTATGCTTTGATACAGTCAATACTGGAAATAGAATGAAAATGATACAATGAATAGAAGACAAGCACTGAAGATATAATGACCAGTTTGTGCTAGAGTTGAGAATTGTTCGAGAGTGGGGATTGGCACTATGCCGGAAGTTGTACAGTACAATTACCACATCAGTGAGTTAATGGTGCATTCACAAAACATATGCACAAATTGGCACAGTGCCAATTGCATATATCATTGAATAGAAACCTCCCCAGTTAGTGATCCCCGTACAAGTTCAAGTACGAGATTGCATACAGCCCGCACAATTGGCCAAAATAATTTATAGAATTTAATTTGTATAAGTATATAAATACCACATATATATATATATATATTATTAAAGACATTTTTATGTTTAACGTTCTTTTTTATAGATACAAGTATTTAAGTAAATGCTCTGTTTATAATAAACAGTATTAAATAACATTTACCGACCTGAATGTCCGAGAAATTTTCATAGAAAATATTCAGCCTTTGACAGGATTCGAACCTGCATCCTATACGGAACCGTCATTTACGCTGACGTGCCTAACCTCTCGGCCACAAAGGAGCGTTCGGTAGGCAAGGTCGAATTTACTGCTTATAAACTTCAATCTTCCATGAATCTCGTACATTCATAACTGCTCTGGCGTATCAAATGTAAACAAATGACGTCATATATTAAGAAATGGACAAAGTCCAACAATTTATTTATTAAAGGCATTCTTTTTATGTTTAACGTTCTTTTGTATAGATACAAGTATTTAAGTAAATGCTCTGTTTATAATAAACAGTATTAAATAACATTTACCGGCCTGAATGTCCAAGAAATTTTCATAGAAAATATTCATTCTTTGACAGAATTCGAACCTGCATCCTATACGGAACTGTCATTTACCTACCGAATGCTCCTTTGTGGCCGATTGGTAAGGCACGTCAGCATAAATGTGAATCCTGTCAAAGGACGGATATTTTCTATGAAAATTTCTCAGACATTCAGGCCGGTAAATGTTATTTAATACTGTTTATTATAAACAGAGCATTTACTTAAATACTTGTATCTATAAAAAAGAACGTTAAGCATAAAAATGTCTTTAATAAAATAAATTGTCGGACTTTGTCCATTTCTTAATATATATATATATATATATATATATATATATGCTACAGGCAAAATGTATGGGGTAGCCCCGCATTGAGATATTTTAGTATTTTTTAAAAGGTTAAAATAAAAATTTTAGTAACTACAGTGGATTTGCTTTTATTTTTCAGTCTTCCATCAGGCTCCTCTTACTATCAAATCTTTTGCCTGTAGAGTGTATATATATATATATATATATATATATATATATATATATATATATATTTATGTTTGATTGAATAAATGCCAGCTTATTTTTATCATAATCCTTTCATATTCACAAATATTTTTCTGTATGTTACAATTAAATAAGGCAAGAAAGGCACTGTAACAATTAGAATCACTTTTATTTCCAATGAAATTTCCATCTCTTCCAGAGGAAAGTTCTTGGGAAATAAAAGTGATTCTTGCTTTTACAGGCAAGAAATGCCTTATTTAATTGTAATATAAAGAAAAATATTCATGAATATGTAAGGATTATATTAAAAATAAGCAGACATAATGTTTGTAATTTATTCAATCAGACATGCCTAAAAGAGAATTTGGAGCCTAAATACACACACATATATATATATATATATATATATATATATATATATATATATATATATATATATATATATATATGAATGTAATGAGAACAAAAATAACATATAAATTCTAACGTTATGTAAAAATTATGATATATATTTAGTGTCCACAAAATCTTCAGACAATTTCAAAAAGCTATTTCAAAAAGCAAGGTGGCAACTAAATTTTTGTTCCATATTAAATATAAATTTCATAGTAATTGTTTTGATGAATTTTTATCTATGTTATCTAAAAATACTTTCATCTATGAATTTAAGTGCAGTAATAATAGATTTATAGATAAAATGGCTAGATGTAACCATAAGTTCTATGTTCCCATTTTCTTTTATGGCACTTCTCATTTGTGGAACTATCTTCCAGATTCTTTCTTTCCCGTCATGTCTGATTGTCAAAGATTTAAATGCAATGTCAATCGTTATTGTCTACCTTTTTAATTCCTATTCTGTTATTCTCTCTTTTTAATAGTGTTTTTCTTTTCTCATATTCTCTCACAGTCAGTAATCTTTTGTGTCATAGTGGCTTTATTGCCTTGCTGGGCATGGG